CAACTCCCTTGACTGGGCGGCAGCATCTGAATACCTTCACTCCACGGGCTGCATCTGTGCAGAGCATTGGTGCTTAGAAATATTCTTCTTGTTGAGGTCACTGTGGAATGCTGGCGCCTACTGTAGTACCTGTATTGTCAAGCAGATTTGCCAAACTCTCTGAACCCTGGTCTCGCTAATATTTTCCAGAAGTTCTGCACGCTTGACTTTTAACATTTGTGTGTAGGATCCATCTGGAGTTAATTTTGTGGAGCTTGTAAACTGTATCTCCTGAGTACAGTAACACTCCACTGCTAAAATGATGTAGAAGAGTAGAATTGATGGTAATAGAATTGATGACATAAGGATTTCTCAATTCTTAGGAGACATTAAGTCACACAAAGTAGAATTTAGGCAATATCCCAAAGAAAAGTAGAATGCTAACCATACCTGTTAGAGATTAGTATGGTAAAATGTAAATGTTTGTTCACCCGGATTAAGCAGCCAGTAAGCTACATTCCCATAATAAAGGAGACAACCCTGATTTACAGCCAGCCAAAAAGCCCATCCCCCATCCAAAACAGGCCTCTAACATGCTTCTCAATGGGTTATTGAAGGGTCACGTGCAACATTTAAGTCCTGGTGTGCCATAAAGGTATATTAATTCTAGAACAGCTGCATATCCAGCTTTTTTTTTTTTTTTTTTTTGGTTTTTCCAGACTGGGTTTCTCTGTGTAACACTGCTGGCTGTCCTTGAACTCACTTTGTAGACCAGGGTGGCCTTGAACTCACTGAGTTCCACCTACCTCTGCCTCCCAAGTGCTTGGATTAAAGGTATGAGCCACCATTGCCCAGCTCTCCAGCCTTTTTGAAAACTGGTTTTCAGTCAAGGCCTCCAGTGTTGATTGAGGTTAACTTGAATCCCATCTGTAGCCTCACAGGGCATTGCCCTTGCTATCCTCCTGACTAACCACCCTAAATCCTTGGATTACAGGTCTGTAGCACCACAGAGTTCTAACATTACCAGTTTGAGTCACATAGTGGACTGTTCATTGCAGAAGAGGGTAAGGATTTGTGTGTGGAGCTTGGCTTCTCCCTTCAGAACAGAAGAGGAGGAACAGTGTACTGTGCACACTGCAAGGGGAAACAGACTAGACAACAGCTAGATCACAGACTGAAGTTTAAGGCAGTGAGCTGTAGGGGTCTCCTGAAGGACCTGATAGGGCAAGGTGAGTGACTTTTTGTGACATTCCCCAGCATGTATTAATTCCTTCCATGTGAATGAAGACAGACAGAATTGGTGGGTGTACAATTTAGGGAGGGTGACTTGAATTACTGAGTATTCAGTATTCAGAGTTAGGGAACTCTCCTATGCAGATATGTGCAGTTCTAGTTGACACAGTTAAGTCAGCTCAGAGGTTTGAGACACAGGCCATTGTCTATAAATCTGTGTCAGCTTACAGCACCTAGCAGCTAACATTTTACATGGACAAAGTCATACAGTGTTTTATTAATGGCATTCTCTCTACCAGGGAAGTGCCTACTCTGTTTCAAAGTCATTATACCTAAGTATCCTTCCAATTATCTTTATCATTTTAAAAGGTTATTAATTATTAGTTAAATTTCATTTCCTTTAAATGCATTACTGCTATAATCTCTATTTGTTTCTATTTTCCAGTGTTCTTAGTCATTAAGAATTCCATTCCATTTTTTCTTAAGTATTATTTATTTATTTATTTGTATCAGTTTAGAGCAGTGGTTCTCATCTTGGGGAGGTTGGGACTTCCTTTGAGGGATCAAATGACCCTATCATAGGAGAAGAGTGGCCTAAGACCATTGGAAAACACAGATATTTATATTACAATTCATAACAGTAGCAAAATTATAGTTATAAGGTAGCATTGAAAATAATTTTATAGAGGGGGTTCTACAACATGAGAAACTGTATTAAAGGACCAGAGCATTAGGAAGATTGAGAACCACTAGTTTAGTCAATGTCTGCTGTTTCTCAGGCTTGCCTCACACTCTGTAATTCAGAATTACTTTGAACGTTTATTCCTGCCTCGCTGCCCAGTGCTGGAAAGACAGTCTAGCAACTCCTTCCAGTCTGGGCCTTGATTAGTTTGTGAAAAGGAAAAATAGACCAGGGGGTGAGTGTCTTCCAACTTCTCTAGATTATATTGCAGATTTGAAAATGACGTGAGACCTATGTAAGAATTACATTCACTGACCAGTAAAGTAGGCATCGTCAAAGCACAGATAGGGATAGGGAAGAAGGGGGGTAAAAGCTTTCCTGCTTTGACAGTAGTTGACATTAGCAATGAGCAGTGAGGTAATCAATTATAGATGATTGATCAATGTCCTGACTGGCCATTTCTTCCATCCACACACCAGGCAATCAAGAATCTGGATAACGAACTGAACTTTCATGAAACCAAATTACTTCAGTTACACTAGTTCAACCAAAATGGAAGAACTGGATAAAATGGTGTGGCCCTGCCTAACATGACTGTGTTTTCCAGGTTGAAGATGTACAGTCTGAGAAACAGGGCATGAGTAGTGCTTGGGGTGCTCTAGTAGAAATCTCTGGAGCACATGGCCATAAAGCCTCTTTCAACTTTTGAACATAATTTTGTGTGATTATTGTTACTTCATTTCCAATTTCTCTTTCCTGCCTCCAAACCTTCCCATTGACCCTTCATTGTTTTCTAATCCATGGCCTCTTTTTGCTTTAACAACAGTTACTGTTGGCATGTAACCCGTGTTTGTCTGCAGAACCTCTGAGCTGTGAAGCAGAGGGTTGGCTGCACAGGACATTGAGTGTGTAATGGAATGTGCACAGAAAGGACCTTGTGCCTTGGAAGAGGAACAGGAAGTCCTCTGGGAGAATGGAAGATTCTACTAAACTACAAATTTCCCGGATGAGGGCAATGTCTGACCATAGGGTGGAAGGGCAGAGCTGGGAAGGCCTGTGCTGTCCGAGCCATTTGAACTCTGCTCATCTAATAGGGTAACCTCTAATGTTCCAAGGCCCAGCTGGGTGGTCTTAGCTAATGAAGAACTCTGGAAGGCTTAGCAGTCAGGAGTACCAGTTGGAGGTAGCTTACAGGTTCTTTTCAGGTTTCTCCTCTGGTTCTGTTGTAGAGAGTTGTAAGGAAGACCACAAGCCATGCCATAGCGAGTGTGGGAGCCACTGTCCCCAGACTAGGAAGAGCAGGTTGGATGAGCTATCGGGATCTGAGCTGCTGGGACTAGGCTATACCAAGAGCCAGAATGAGGTTCCGTTGGTCCCTGTGGTGACCTGGGTAGTGGCCCTTGTCCTCTGAGCCTCCCTGAGTGTGAATTCTCTGAGGAGGGGGAGGCTCTGCAGCCCTGGGTATGAGAGGGTATGCTGCTTGTAATATCACTATCCAGTGTGCACACAAAGAAATTGCTTTTGGTGTGCAGTGGAAAGACAGATTGGAAAAATGAAGGCCTGGTTTCTAAAAGTTCTGAACATTACATTCCACTTTCAGGTTTCTTATAATTGTTACAGATGGTTTAGAAAATGGTGAAAAGCGGTGATGAAGGTCATCCTTCAGCAATACATAATTAGAATGCTTTTAACTTTCTGCTACTACCAGCCACCATGGTGGGATTCAGCGAAGTTCAGTTTTAGGGGACAAACAAGTTTCTGGAATACCTCCAGAGGTATCTCAATTTTGCATGGTATTAGGCAGGTAGACAGAGAAGATTCCACATCTTGTCATAATTCATGTGGCAGGAAGCAAACATTAAATTATTCTTCTACATTGTTTTGTGATTGGGCGTCAGTAGGGCTGAGTTTGCCTAAAACCACAGTGGGCAAGAAGGGCTGTAGAGCCCTAGTAGACTCTAGAGGAAATCACCTACATTTGCAGAAAGGGCTCTAGAGCATGGAGCCTCTCTGGAAGAAATATCAGTAGCTGGAGAGTAAGAAACATAAAAGTTTGAGTCACTTTGAGTTAATTTTGTATGAGTTGTGAAGTCCATGCTTCTTTAATTTATGTACATGTAGAATCATAGGTAGCTGGGTAACATTGGTCAAGATCATAGTTATCCTGGCTGACTTTCCTTTGGTCTTTTTATGAAAAGTTGATTGTATTTTCCTACTTTTGATCTTGGCTTATTCTCTCCATCCCCTTTATTCTTTCACAAATATTTTACACATTCTTGATTATTGTAGCTTTGTAGTAAATATAGAAGTCACATTGTGTCAATCTCTGTACTATTTTTTCATAATCCCATTGAGCATTCTGAGTGTTTCCACTTGCATGTAGCTTTGGAATCAGCTTTTGTTATAAATTATTGGGCATTGTCTTTGGATTGTATTCAATTTATGGTGCAAATTGACCATATACAACCTCTTAATGTTGATACATCATGTTCCCAGGGATCATTAATTTACTTTATTTATTTAGGTTTTGTTGTTGTTAATCTGTGAAAGACTTTTAGTGTATTGAATAAAAAGTATTATGGAGCATGGTAGGTCACTCAGCACATATTCCTCTTAGGGATAACCTGAGTTCAGATCCCAGCACGTATAACTAACTACCTGCTACTCCAGGTCCAGGTTATCTGATACCCTCTTTTCTGGTGTGTCACCTGTACAAATATGGAAGACATTCTTTCTTCACACACACTCATAAAAATGGGGATAAATTTATTTTCAAAAGTTCCTGTGACTTATAAAGTAATTAGAAGAGAACAAGTTGCTTTAGGTATATAATACAAGTCATTCAGTGTTTGATTAAAAGTCTGTTATCTTGCATTTGGTTTGGAAAAGTTTTCCTTTCCTCACTCTGATGCAGACTTATATCTAATCATCCATCATAGGAAAATGATCCTAACATTCATGAGTAAGAAGGTAGATATGCATAGTTAGTATAGCAAAAGTTTTATATATATATATATATATATATATATATATATATATATATATATATATATATATTTATATTTTCTCCAGATTTGGTATATATCAAGTTGAAAATCCATTCAGAAATAAGAGGAGATGCAATCACTTTCATACAAAAGTTGTTAAGGGGGGCACCAGGGTTGGAGCTGTAGGACTCTGAGCTAAGCCAATCATAGTAGAGCATCATCCTTACTTGATCAGTGTCAATTAAGAGTATGTGGTTCATGGCCAAGGGCTAGATAGTTCTTCTTTTATTAATGAAAAGAGCAACTAAGGAGTCCAGTAAGCTTCACAATTAGCTTCCAGTGTTGTTTCTCAGCCTTTTGTATGTTAATATTATGACAAACCAAGTCATGAATATAAAGTATCAAGACATCTGGTGAGTCTCCAGAGCCATCCATCTCTGCTCTATGACCAATGTGTATATACCCTCTTTTGGCAAGAATGGCAAAGATGTGGGATCCACAGGAAATGTGGGCCGGGGAAAGGGTGGCTTCAGCTGGTGATCTGTTGCAGAACTAGGTATGAGCCACAGGGATCTGGATCTGGGGGAACAGAGTTCACCTCTGCCTTTTATGCTCTTCCTGCTACATCTTTCTTAATGATCCCTGAGAAATGGGAGAAGATTGAGCTATAAATGTTGCTTTAATTCCATCCATTTGCTTGCAGACCTAATGATTTCATTGTTTTTCTCTGCTGAGTACTACTCCATTGTGTATATGTACTACATTTTCTTTATCCATTCTTCAGTTGAGGGGCATCTAGGTTGTTTCCAGGTTCTATCTATTACAAATAATGCTGCTATGAACATAGTTGAGCATATGTCCTTATGGTATGATTAAGCATTCCTAGAGTGGTATAGCTGGGTCTTGAGGAAGATTGATTCCCAATATTCTGAGAAACTGCCATACTGATTTCCAAAGAGACTGTGTAAGTTTTCACTCCCACCAACAGTGGAGGATTGTTTCCCTTGCTCTGCATCCTCTCCAACATAAGCTGTCTTCAGTGTTTTTGATCTTAGCCATTCTGACAGGTGTAAGATGGTATCTGAGTCATTTTGATTTGCATTTCCCTAAGGATGTTGAGCAATTCCTTAAATGTCTTTCAGCCATTTGAGATTCTTCTGTTGGGTTTTCTCTTTTTAGCTCTGTAGTCCATTTTTTAATTGGATTGTTCGTTATTCTGATGTCCAGTTTCTTGAGTTCTTTATATATTTTGGAGATCAGCCCTCTGTCAGATGTGAGGTTGGTGAAGATCTTTTCCCATTCTGTAGGCTGCTGTTTTGTCTTATTTACTGTGTCCTTTGTATTACAGAGGCATCTCAGTTTCAGGAGATCCCATTTGTTAGTTGTTGCTCTCAGTGTCTGAGCTACTGGTATTATATTTAGAAAGTGATCTCCTGTGCCAATGCATTCAAAACTACTTCCAACTTTCTCTTCTATCAAGTTCAGTGTAAGTGGTTTTATATTGAGGTCTTTAATCCACTTGGGCTTGAGTTTTGTGCATGGTGATAGATATGTATCTATTTGCAATTTTCTACATGTTGACATCCAGTTATGCCAGCACCATTTGTTGAAGATGCTTTCTTTTTTCCATTGTACCGTTTTGGCTTCTTTGTCAAAAATGAGGTGTTCATAGGTGTGTGGCTTGATGTCAGGGTCTTCAGTTCGATTCCATTGGTCCACATGTTGGGTTTTGTGTCAGTACCAAGCTGTTTTTATTACTATAGTTCTATAGTAGAGCTTGAGGTCAGGGATCATGATGCCTCCAGAGGTTGCTTTATTGTACAGGATTCTTTTAGCTATCCTGGGTTTTTTGTTTTTCCAAATGAAGTTGACTATTGTTCTGTCCAGGTCTGTGAAGAATTGTGTTGGTATTTTGATGGGGATTGCATTGAATCTGTAGATTGCTTTTGGTAAGATTGCCTTTTTTACTATCCATGACCATGGGAGATCTTTCCATTTTCTGCTATCTTCTTCAATTTCTTTCTTCAGAGACTTCAAGTTCTTGTCATACAGGTCTTTCACTTGCTTAGTTAGAGTTACCTCAAGGTATTTTATGTTATTTGTGTCTATTGTAAAGAGTGATGTTTCTCTGATTTCTTTCTCAGCCCATTTGTCATTTGTATATAGGAGGGCTACTAATTTTTTTGAGTTAATCTTGTATCCTGCCACATTACTGAAGGTGTTTCTCAGCTTTAGGAGTTCCCTAGTGGAATTTTTGGGGTCACTTATGTAGCCTATTATATCAGCTGCAAATAATGAAAGTTTGACTTCTTCCTTTTCAATTTGTATCCCGTTGATCTCCTTTTGTTGTCTTATTGCTCTAGCTAGAACTTCAAGTACTATATTGAATAAATATGGGGAGAGCAGACAACCTTTTATTGTTCCTTATTTTAATGGAATCACTTTGAGTTTCTCTCAATTTAATTTGATGTTGACTTGCTGTAAATTGCGTGTAAATTATTATGTTTCAGTATGTTCTTTGTATTCCTGATCTCTCCAAGACCTTTATCATGAAGGGGTGTTGAATTTTATCAAAGGCTTTTTCAGCATCTAATGAGATGATCATGTGGTTTTTTTCTTTCATTTTATTTATATGGTGTATGACATTGACAGATTTTTCTATGTTGAGCCATTCCTGCATCTCTGGGATGAAGCTAACTTGATCATAGTGGATAATTTTTTGATGTGTTCTTGGAGTCTGTTTGCCAATATTTTATTGAGTATTTTTGCATCAATGTTCATGAGGGAGATTGGTCTATAATTCTCTTTCTTTGTTGCATCTTGGTGGTTTGGAAATAGAATAACTGTAGCCTCATAAAAAGTTTGGTAATGTTCCTTCTGTTTCTATTGTATGGAACAATTTGAAGAGTATTGGTATTATCTCTTCTTTGAAAATCTGGTAGACTCCTGCATTGAAACCATCTGTTCTTGGGCTTTTTTTTTGGTTGGGAGACTTTTAATGACTGATTCTATTTCTTTAGGGGTTATTGGTCTATTTAAATTGTTTATCTGGTCTTGATTTAACTGTGGTGTGTGGTACCTATCTAGAAAATTGTCCATTTCTTTTAGATTTTGCAGTTTTGTGGAGTACAGGTTTTTGAAGTATGGCTTGATGATTCTCTGGATTTCCTTGTTGTCTGTTGTTATGTCTCCCTTTTCATTTCTGATTTTGTTAATTTAGATACACTCTCTCTGCCTCTTGGTTAGTTTGGATAAGGGCTTGTCTATCTTGTTGATTTTCTCACTTTGTTTCATTGATTCTTTGTATTGTTCTCTTTGTTTCTATTTTATTGATTTCAGCTCTCAATTTGATTATTTCCTGGTATCTATTCCTCCTTAGTGACTTTGCTTCTTTTTGTTCTACAGAATTTAAGTTTGCTGTTAAGTCACCAGTATGAGATTTCCCCAACTTCTTTATGTGTGCATTTAGTGCTATGAATTTTCCTGTTAGCACTGCCTTCATAGTGTCCCATACGTTTGGGTATGTAGTGCATTCATTTTCATTCTATTCTAGGAAGTCTTTCTTTCTTATTTCTTCTTTGACTCATTGGTGATTCAGTTGATCATTATTCAGTTTCCATAATATTGTAGGCTTTCTGTAATTTTTGTTGTTGTTGTTGTTGTTTTTGTTTAACCTAACTTTAAGCCATGGTGATCTGATAAGATACAGGAGGTTATTCCAATTGTTTTGTATCTGTTGAGATTTGCTTTGTTGCCAAGCATGTGGTTGATTTTAGAGAAGGTTCCATGGGGTGTTGAGAAGAAGGTATATTCTTTTTAGGGTGGAATGTTCTGTAGATGTCTATTAAGTCCATTTGAGTCATAACATCTGTTGGTTCCCTTATTTCTCTGTCAAGTTTCAGTCTGGTAGATCTGTCCAGTGGTGAGAGTGGGGTGTTGAAGTCTCCCACTACTAGTGTATGGGGATTTAATTGATGTATGACTTAAGCTTTAGTAATGTTTCTTTTACAAATGTGTGTGCCCTTGTATTTGGGGCATTAATGTTCAGAACTGAAACTTCATCTTGGTGGATCTTTCCTGTGATGAGTATGCAATGTCCTTCCCGATCTCTTTTAAATGATTTTAGTTTGAAGTCTATTTTTGTTAGATATTAGGATAGCTACACCAGTTTGCTTCTTAAGTCCTTTTCATTGGAAAGTCTTTCCCCAGCCTTTTACTCTGAGGTACTGTCTGTCTTTGAAGATGAGGTGTGTTCCTTGTATGCAGCAGAAAGATGAATCCTGATTTCATATCCATTCTGTTAGCCTGTGTCTTTTTATAGGTGAATTAAGTCCATTGATATTAAGGGATATTAATGACCAGTGATTGTTAATTCCTGTTGTCTTTTGGTGGTAGTATGTGTGTGTTTCCCTTCTTTAGGATTTACTGCTGTGGGGTTATCTATTGCCTGTGTTTTCGTGGGTATATCTGACTTCCTTAGGTTGGAATTTTCCTTCTAGTGCTTTCTGTAGGGCTGGATTTGTGGATAGGTATTCTTTAAATCTGGTTTTGTCCTGGAATGTCTTGTTCACTCCGTCTATGGTGATTGAAAATTTTGCTGGTTATATTAGTCTAGGCTTACATCCATTGTCTCTTAGTGTCTGCATTACATCTGTCCAGCACCTTCTGGCTTTCTAAGTCCCCATTGAGAAGTCAGGTGTTATTTTGATGGGTCTGCCTTTATAAGTCACTTGGCCTTTTTCCTTTGCTGCACTTAATATTCTTTCTTCATTCTGTATGTTTAGTGCTTTAACTATTATGTGAGGAGAGGACTTTGGGGGGGGGGGTCTAGTCTATTTGGTGTTCTACAAGCTTCTTATATCTTCATAGGCATTTCCTTCTTTAAGTTGGGAAAGTTTTTTTCTATGATTTTGTTGAATATATTTTCTGTGCCTTTGAGTTGGTATTCTTCTCTTTCTTCTATCCCTATTATTCTTAGGTTTGGCATTTTCATGGTATCCTAGATTTCCTGGATGTTTTGTTATGACTTTTTTGGCTTTGGTATTTTCTTTGACTGATGAATCTATTTCTCTATTGTATCCTCTATACCAGAGATTGTCTCTTCCATCTCTTGTATTCTGTTGGTTATGCTTGCATCTGTAGTTCCTGTTCATTTACTCAGATTTTCTATTTCCAGCATTCCCTCTGTTTGTGTCTTCTTCATTGTTTTATTTCACTTTTCAGGTCTTGAACTGTTTTCTTTACTTGTTTAATTGTTTTTTCATGGTTTTCTTGGCTTTCTTTAAAGGATTTATTGATTTCTTCCAATTTTTTGTTTGTCTTGTCCCCGATTTATTTAAGGGAATTTTTCATTTCCTCTTTAAAGGCCTCTAGCATCTTCATGAAGTTATTTTTAAGGTTGCTTTCTTCTGCTTCTTCTACATTGTGATGTTCAGGTCTTGCTGTTGTTGAGCTAGGTTCTGGTGATGCCCTACTTTTCTTTACGTTGTTGTATATATTTTTGCATTGGCATCTACCTATCTCTTCTTCCAAGAGGTGCAAGAGGTGCCTTTGTCTGAGCAAGCTGCTTTTGGTCCAATTTGTGCTTTCTGTGTCTGGGTCTCAGGGAGCCCCTCTCATTGCAATCTTAGCTCTTGATCTAATGGAGCTGGCATATTTAGTATGTCAGGGAGCTGCTCTTGGTCCAATCCAAGCTAGCTGATTCTGTGGCTTATGGAGCCACTCTTGGTCTTATCAGGGCTCTTGATCCAGTCAGAGCTGGCAGATTCTGTATCTTAGGAAGCCACAGGTGTTGCAGAGGAATGGGTATTGAGGTAGGGCATCTGTCTTATGAATTGCTGGGTTCAATGGGGGGTTTTGGTGGGAAGCCTGCCCACAGAAGTCTTTCCTGCTGGCCAGAAACTGGGGCAGAAATGGGTGGGTGTTCCCAGGGACTGGTTGTATCCCAGGGCTTAGGTTCTAGAGCTTCTTGCTTTCTTTAAGGGATTTAGTCACTTCTTCTAAGGACCTCTATCATCTAAAAGTTTGTTTTAAGGTCTTTTATTGTTCTTCATCTTTGTTGGAATATTCAGAGCTTGCTGTAGTAGAATAACTGAGCTCTGGTGGTGACATATTGCTCTGGCTGTTGTTGATTGTGTTCTTAAGCTGGCGTCTAGGTATATAGGTTTGGGGTAATTATAGATCTAGGTGACTGAGTTTGTTTTTGTTGGATGGGTGTTTTGTACCTAGGTCTGTATTTGCTTTCTGGTCTTCTGGTCTATATGAGCTATGGTACTGAGGTTTCCTTCCCACCCACGTTGGGGACTGGAAATCTGGTAGCAGGTATGGCCTTTGTTCCAGCAGGGAATCTTGGTCCAAGTGTGGTCTGAGAAGAGGCAAAGAAGGAAGTGTAAGTAGAGGGGCACTGTGAGATTGGGGGAGGTCTGTGGGCAGGGGGGCTACATGGACTTCTGGTAGCTGGTGTGTTCTTTGTTAGAGCAGGCCATTTCCACCCTAGTTGGGAGCTAGGACACAGCAACAAGGAGTGAAGTGGGATTGGGGATAGTGTTGGACTTTAATAGTGAAGGAGGTTCATGAGTGGGCAGCCTACCTGGATTTCTGGTGGCTGGTGTGGACTCTAGTCCAGCAGGGAGTCTTTACCTGGGTTTGTCTCCCTGTTCTTCTAGCTTGTATGGTCTGCACTTGAGCATGGGATGTCTGTATGAGTTGGAGGCTGGGACACAGCCACATTCCTCTCTTTCTGAATGAGAATGTATGCTGTGTCATTGTATGTTGCAAAGATTTAATTTGTTTCTTGATTTTACAAGATGTCACAGTCAAAAGATTGTCTTGAGTATCAGAAGATACTTGGGACATTTGAACATGTTGGGCTGTTACAGACTATGATGGTCATTGAAATTTGAATAATTGCTTTTTCATTTCTTTTTTGTTGTTTTTCTTTTTTTATTTATTCTCTCATATAATACATCCTGACTACAACCTCCCCTACCTTCACTCCTCCCAGTCACCCCTCCTTCTGACTCCCCAAGTTATACTGCTCCTCTCATTCCCTTCAAAAAAGAGCAGGCCTCCCAGGGATATGAACTGAACATATCATAACAAGATGCAATAAGACTAGGCACAAACACTCATATGAAGGCTGGATTAGGCAACCCAGTAAGAAGAAAAGGGTCCAAGAGCAGGCAAATGAGTCAGACACACCCCCACTCCTACTGTTAGGAGTTCCACAAACACACCAAGGTGAACAACCACAGCATGTAGGCAGAAGACTTGGCACAGACCCATGCAGGCTCCATGATTGCTGCTTCAGTCTCTGTGAGTCATTATGATACCTGCTTAGTTGATTCTGTGGGCTGTGTTCTCCTTGTGTCCTTGATCTCTCTCCCTCCCCACTTCTTCTGCATGGTTCCCAGAGCTCTAATTAATGTTTAATTGACATTAATGTTCTGCATCTCTCCCATCAGCTGCAGGAGGAAGCACCTCTGATGACAATTGGGCTAGGTACTGGTATATGATTACAGCAGAATATAATTAGGCATCATTTCATTGACTTTTTTTTTCTTTTGGTCAGTTGCTTATGGTTCTACCCTAGTCCTCTGATCCATCCAACTTCTGGTTCCTGTTCATCTGGGCAGTGTTGGACACGGGCTCCCTTTTTTGGCTTGGGCCTTAAGTTAAACCAGTCATTGGTTGGCCACTACACAAACTGTGAGCCACCATTGCTCCAGCATATCTTGCAGACAGGACAAGTGTGAGTCAAGTAGTTTGTGGCTGGATTGGTGTCCTAGTCTCACCACTGAGAGACTTATGTGGTTACAGAAGATGGCAAGTTCAAGTTCAGGCTCTGTATTTTTGATTACTTAGAATCCTCACTAGGGTCACCCTCATAGCTTCCAGGAAGTTTCCACTGCACTGGGTTTTCACATCACCCTCTAAAACCTCCCCTATTCAACTCATCTCTCCCTGTATTCTCTCCCTCTGTCTGTTCCTTACCTGATCCTTCCTGTGTTCCTTCCTCAGTCTACCCACAAAATCTATCTTCTCTTCCTAGGTGAATCCATGCATTCACCCCCAATACCCCCACAGCCATCCTTGTTACTTAGCCTTTCTGGGTCTGTGGATTGTACTACAATTATTCTTTACTTAACAGCTTATATCCACTTGTAAGTGAGTACACATATGTTTGTCTATGTGGTTCTGGGTTGCCTCACTTAGGATAATAAAGAATTCAAGACTCTTCTCTACAGTGGAAGCTTAGCAAGGTGTCCTGAGAGTAAGACTCCATCCTGTTAGGCCTTCAATTAATGGAAGGAATAGGCAAAGTGATTCCTAGCCCCAGAAAGAAGTTTCATATAAAACCTGATGCAAACTGTGGTCCAAGCTCAGCAGGGTCCATCCCAATCCAAACTTGTGCTGGTTCTGGAAAAAAATAATCAAAAATTCAGGTCATGGATTCTAAGTCTGTGGTTTCAGTTCAGCCTTGATGCAGGAATCTATATTTTGCAGAGTCAGAGCCCCAGTGAGGAGACTGTGACAGTTCATTTCATGATGCTGTGAGGATGAAGCCTGGGTTGCCTTTTCAGACCACAAGATGTTGAGATACCTAAGGTGTGAGATATCTGCCATGCAGAGCTGCACATAGGGAGTGAAAGTAACCAAAGAGAGAGATGTATGAGAAGTTGCAGGGAAAATGTGACTTCAAAACCCTTTGGAACTGAAGCCCCATGTGTCTCAGACAGAGCTACTGGATTTGGTGTTTGCCCTGCTAGTTTCACTGTTGCCTTGGTCCAATCTTCTCTCACTGTGTCCCCTATCCCCTTTTTGGAATGGGAATGAGTATTCTGTGCCATTGTACATTGGAAAGATATAACGTGTTTTTCTGATTTCACAAGACTTCACAGTCAGGCAATTGTCTTGAGTGTCAGAAGAGACTTTGGACATTTGAACTGTGTAAGAGCTGTTGAAGACTATGGACACTGAAGTTAGACTAAATGCATGTTCATCATGGGATGACCATAAGTCTATAGTGACCTAGGTCAGAATCCAGATAGGATAAAGTATTTGAACACTTGTCTCTCCTTGATGACTTTCTTTGGGGTGCTTGTGGAGCCTTTAATAGGAGGAACCTTTCTGGATGAAATTCCTCATTGAGGATGGGATTTGAGTATCTATAGCCTTAACCAATTTCCTCTTCTTTGTGTCCTGCTGTCATGATTTCACCACCATTATAGATGATATCACTAAATCACATAAGATACACCTGAAGCAATTTATATTCAACGCCAAGCCATTTTGCTAACCTGATTTTTTTTTTAATGTTGTTTTTGTTTTTGTGGACAAGGTTTCTCTGTGTAGCCCTGGCTGTCCTGAAAATAGCTCTGTAGACCAAGATGGCTGGCCTCAACTCAGAGATCCCATTGATTCTGGATCCTACATGCTAGGATTAAAGGTGGGCCAGTATACCTAGGGTTTTGTTTCATTTTGTTTTTATATTAGTGACTGCTGGGCCTGGAATACAGGTTTTTATACATGTCAAGCATATGCTGTTGTGCTGAGCTTCATCCATGTCTTGAATTTTGAAATTTGGCAGAGGGTATCATTCTGTTTCTCAGGATGGCAGTATACTGCCTGAGCCTGCTGAGTCACTGGATTGCAAGTGTGTTACTTTCTTTCTACATATTGTGTTTGTTTTGAATTATTTTGAACAAATATGAGTCTTTTGCCTGTATACTGGGATATGCACCACATGTATGGCTGGTCCCCAGAGTAGTCAGAAGATGGCCTCAGAACACCTGAACATGGAATAATGGATTGTTGTGAGCCCCATGTAAGTACTGTCAATTGAGCTCACCTATCTGCAAGACCAGCAACCACTCTTAACTGCTGAGCCCACTCTCCTGCCCTGTGTTGTTTATGATCAACATTTACATTGTTAATGTTTTCATTTGTCCATTTGTAACTGTTTAAACATGCATTCCCTTTTAATAATATTATTGTTCCAGTTTATACTGAGGCTCTTCAGTTTTCTGGAAGATGAATACAGAACCAGAGTAAATGCATAACTCTTCATAGGAACTTTAGTAAATACCTCTGGGTTCTTCTACATTTTTGTTTGTTTTATTGATTTTTATTGGGAAGATGAGGTCTTACTAATACGTAACTCTGGCTGTCCTGGAACTCACTGTATATGCCAGGCTGGCATCCAATTCAATTACATTTACATGCCTCTGCCTCCTGAGAGCTGAGATTAAAGTCATGAGCCTCAACAGCCAGCTTACCCATCTTTTTTTCTAGCTAGTAAGTTTTCATACAATTTCTCTAAAATGTACTCAATACCATTGATCTGTTTGCTCGTCTCTCTCCTTATGTCTATTTATTTGCATTTCTCTTCCAAGGCTATATTCTAGTCAAAGTGCAGAAATGATAGAGGAACCTCATTATTCAGTTTTTTTCTAAAATAACTTGGTGATTACATAGAACTTCTGTATCATGGAATAAATGTGGGGAGCACCAGAATTTTATATAAGTATATTGTCAAGGAAGTGTACATTTACAGTGTTGTCACTATCACACTTTCTGTTGTACACATGTATGGGATATTTTAGAATGCAGTGACCTATGGTGATGTGCATGTTGACTTCACTGAGGAAGAGTGGGCTTTGCTGGATTCTTCCCAGAAGAATCTCTACAGAGATGTGATGCTGGAGACCTACAGGAACCTCACTACTATAGGTAAGACTGAATATTACTTTGTGATTTAAAATAAGGGGACAACTCATTCTTGGTTATTGATAATCTTCTGTAATTTTGGTTGAGAAAGAGGAAGAATGAGGTGGATAAATCAGGCATGGTTTTAAGGTTCACTGAACACAGTAACTTAAATATTGCACAACTTCTAATAATATATCATACATTTTTTGGTATTATATTTTAGGCTACAATTGGGAAGACCATATTATTGAAGAACATTTTCAAAGTTCCAGAAGACATCGAAGGTAATTTTTATGTGCAAGGTGATACAAGTGTTCCTATGGAGAAATTTTAATGTGTCCTAGAAGTTTTAAAGAAAAGCAACAGTATAAATAAGCACAGCTTAAATTGTATTAATGATTACTAAATCCTCAAAAAAACATATCCTCAATGTGAGGTAGCTAATATGTGTTTACAAGGCACTCTTCTAAGAAAGAGGAAAGGAAACAGTGCCTTAACTGATAACATCATTTGAATCATAGCCCTATGAGAGCTATGCTGTATAATTGCCAATCCATTTAGTTTCATACCACTCAGATATTACAAAAGGTATGCATGTTGAATAGGTAATAAGTATTTGTCCAAAACCTTTTAATAAGCAAAGAGTCCATAGTAAAACTAGTATAGCTCATATACTCATAACTCCTAAGTTTAGTGAGAGGGACAGTTTATGAGAATCAAGAAGGTTATTGTGGAGAAACTTTAATCCCTATATCACATGTCTGTGAAGAACAGAAAGTCAATCTGTATGAATGCAATGTGGAAACCTTTTATTTGTTATTCTTCATTTACTAGGTATATTATATGTCACTCTGGATATAAGCCATGTAAGCATAGGGATATGGAAAGAATCAACTTATCTCTGTCTCTCAATAATAGGAAGATATGTAGTAGTCCCCACTTTGAGTAGACTTGTAGAATGTGATACAAGTTTACAATTAATTGGTTTTACAACTTCATTGGGAATACATCAACAAACTCATACCAGAGAAATTCACTTTGCAAATGTAGTATGACTCACAGTATAGGAAAATTTGCAAATGCAAAATTGTGGTAAATCTCAGAGTTCCTCCAGTTCTCTTTAAATATTTGAAAAATCTCATTTAGAAAAGAGATGCTATAAATGTGAGCCATATAATAAAGGCTCTTACCATCACAGGCACTTTCAAAAATGCAAAACAATCCTTAATGAATAGGAACACCATGAGTGTAAACCTTAAGATCTGATTCCTCTTTACAGTTAGACCAAATTGTAAAATTAATTCATTCAGATATAAAGATTCATCAGTGTAATGAATGTGGTAAAGCTTTTTACATTTGCCAATTATCTTTGCAGGTATGAAAGTAGTCATACTGGAGAGAAAACCTCTGAGTATACTCAGTATAGTAAAGACTTCGCATATCATAGGCATCTTCAAAGGCAAGAAAGAATTCATGCTGGACAGCAACCCTATGAAAGTCTTCAATATAGTGAAAACTTTGTACGCCACAGTAGTCTCCGAAGAACATATACTGGAGTGAAACCCTATGGATGTAATCAATGTAGTAAAGCTTTTGCACATCACAGTAGTCTCCGAGTACATAAAAGAACACATACTGGAGAGAAACCTTACAAATGCAATCAATGTGATAAAGCCTTTGTACGTCAGAGTAATCTTCAGAAACATAAAAGAACACATACTGGAGAGAAACCCTACAAATGTAATCAATGTGGCAAAGATTTTGCAGATCCCACTCATCTTCAAGTACATAAAAGAACACATACTGGAGAGAAACCCTATGAATGTGATCAATGTGGGAAAGCCTTTTCACAAAATAGTAGTCTCCAAATACATAAAAGAATACATACTGGAGAGAGACCCTATGAATGTGATCAATGTGGGAAAGCCTTTTCACAAAATAGTAGTCTCCAAATACATAAAAGAACACATACTGGAGAGAAACCCTATGAATGTGATCAATGTGCTGAAGCTTTTTCATGTTACAGTGGTCTCCGAATGCATAAAGGAACACATACTGGAGAGAAACCCTATGAATGTAATCAGTGTGGTAAAGCTTTTGCACATCATAGTAGTCTCAGAGTACATGAAGGAAAACATACTGGAGAGAGACCCTATGAATGTAATCAATGTGGTAAAGCTTTTGCATGTCATGGTACTCTCCGACTACATAAAAGAACCCATACTGGAGAGAAACCCTATGAATGTAATCAATGTGGTAAAGCCTTTACATTTAACAGTAGTCTCCGATTACATAAAAGAACACATACTGGAGAAAAACCCTATAAATGTAATCAATGTGGTAAAGCCTTTGCACGTCAAAGTCATCTGCAACTACATAACAGAACACATACTGGAGAGAAACCCTACAAATGTCATCAGTGTGATAAAGCCTTTACATGTAGCAGTAATCTTAGAATTCATGAGAAAAAATCACATTGCAGAGAAACCTTATAAATGTTATCAGTGTGGTAAACTGCACTTCATGATAGTCTTTATACACAAGTAAAACTTTTAGTATGTAATTGGTCTGTTCAAGCTTTTGCATATTACAGTAATCTTTGAGGACCTGAAAAAAAACTAGTACAGAAGGGAATCTGACTATGAAGGATTTGGTAAGATCTTTAGCCAACACACTTATATTTAGTTACTCAAGATTATTCTGGAGAAAAGATCTGATGTGTCAACAATCTGTTCAAGTATTATGATGTCCATATAAATTAATATGAAGAGGTAACCCTTTTAGATTTCACACCTCTCTTCAATTATGTGAAATAATTTATCCAGGTATAAAACTTTATGGATGTGTATTAGTGCCTTTTCTGTTGCTGTGATAAAACATAATGTCTAAGTCAACTTACAGAAGAGTTTAATTTGGCCCTTGGTTGCAGAATATTACAGATCACTATGAAAATGACATGGCAACAATTGTCAGATGTGGTAGGTAAAGCAGAAAGCTAAGAACTCACATCATCAACCTGCAGCATGAAGCAGAGAGTGGGATCTGAAAATGGTGTACAGATGTAAATTCTCAGACCCACCCACCCCCAGTGACATATTTCTTCCAACAGGACAGCATTTCCTAAATCTTCCCAAATGATACCACCAACTGAGAAGGATTAATTTCTCTGACTTCAAGTGTACATGCTTGCTTTCTGTTACATGAACCAATTCATGATGAAGAAAAACCCTGTAAGCCTTCAGATGCCTCAACACCTCTGTTACAGTAATGAATGCTTACATGAGAAGAATATTCATGAGTAAAAACTTTTTAATGATTTGTTTTCATTTTAAATTTGTGATGTCAATGTGCCTTTGTGGGTATGTATATGTTTATGCTGGTTCCCAAGAAGATTAGACCCTGTAATCTTTTTTTTTAAAGATTTAATTTTATTATGTATACACTGTTCTGTCTGCATGTATGCCTGAAGACCAGAAGAGGGTGCCAGATCCCATTACAGATGGTTGTAAGCCACCGTTGCTGGGAATTGAACTCAGGACTTCTAGAAGAGCAGCCAGATGTTCTTAATCATTGAGCCATCTCTCCAGCCCCAACCCTGTAATCTTGTACCAGGAATTTCAGGAAATTGTCAAAAACCTGACCTTGGTCCTGGGGATGAATTTGTCTTAACTGCTTGGGCATGTCTCTCACCCTGTAAATGTTCTAAAGACTTTATATGTCAACTTGATGTTAGAAAATAGAAAAAAACTCATATAAGAGAAAAATCCTATTCATGTAAACAATTTGATAAAGACTTTAAACATCGAAGTTGTCTTCAGTTTCAAGGAAAAATGTTGTTTCATCTCTTTTTCATTATATCCTGAAAGAAGTAAATTATTTATCATGTTCATGCAAGTGTAATGGTGAAGATCAACATCTGTGGTTGAGTTTGTATTTTGAAATACTTGGAGTAGGTATAGAATTTGCTGTATGTGTGGCAAATCCATTTAGTGAAGTTTATTTTATGGTCCTTGTATTCCTTCTGTGGCTATTGTTTATCTTTTTGCACTTTCACTTGGTTGATACATATTTTTCTGCTGCATTGTATAGAATGTGATGCCCATCATCTAAGTGATCCATTGTTTATTAAGCATCAGGCAGTGTTTGGTCATACTTTTCAATTAAGGGTATCTGTGGAAGGGTCTTGGGTTGTTGTTCCTGGTTTTGTGTTTCATATATTCACTAATTCCCTTGAGATGTTCTTTTTGTTATCTGGCCTGGCTTGGATATCTGTAATTAGTCAGGGATACAGTTCAACTCTTGATTCTCATGTGTCAGCCTCTTGAACACAAGTCCAAGGATAAAAGATATACCCCCAATGTTTGCTGTTTTGTCTACACATTTTAACAATGTTATGTTAAAATGCCTAATAGAAGAGAATATAAGAAAAAAATACCTCGTGTTTATCTAATGCAGCATTTTTATCTCTCTGGCTGAGATGTAATAAAGTATGATAATCAGCAATTTACTGTATATCTCACAGCATAGCTTGATTTGATATGGATATGGATATATTATTTGATATTTAATATGTCTTCATGTCCCCATTAGTTGCCAATTTGGCACTTCATCTTGAAGTACTGCCTTCTAGGTGAAATATCTAAAGATGCCAGATAACATAACAGCAATGGGATTTATTTTCCAAAAAATGTGGTGTGTGTTTGTATTGTAATTATTGCTTTTTAGGTCATGACAAATATGTGGAGACTAAAGACAACTTTGTGGAGTCTACTTTTCACCATATATATATATGGATCTATCAAGGTCAGGTACCAGCCCTGCACATCACAGACATTTTCCACCAAGCCTTCTCACTGATTCACAAATAAAATTAGTTGAAACATTGCATCAATAAAATATTGTCTTTTCAGATTGTAAACATTGCCATCTCAGGATGGATAAAAACAGGACAATTTGAATAATAAATTGTATTTGCAAATGAAAATGATATATTGTCTTTTTCTCTTATCCCTCCCTCCCTCCCTTCCTCCCTCCCTCCCTCTCTCCTCCCTCCCTGGAATGTGTTAGTTTATTCTGAGGACTAAACACTTGCTTATAACATTTTCTCAGAATCACAAATGAATGCCAGATAATTTTCTCAGTGGGTAAAATTAGTTGCTGCTAAGTCTGATCTCTAGGAGACCCATATTATCCCTACAAGTTTTTCTCTTATTTCTACACTTGGGCTGTGACAAATACACTCTCATACCAGCACATACATAAATAATTTTTAAACCTAAATAAGGGCTAATGAGGTCACTTTCAGCCAAACTTGACTCCCAACGTTTCATCTCTAGAACTCACATGGGGGAAGTAGATAACTCACATAGGGAAAGTAGGTAATTGACACCTGTAAGTTGTCCTCTCACTGTCACATGCACACCATGGCACAGGTATATACACACACACACACACACACACACACACACACACACACACACACACACAGTTCAACATTTCTTAAGTAGCTGAAATTAACAAAACAAAGAAAATAACCCAATTATTGAGAACATATGAAATGATTTGCCAGTTTAAATTATTGGGAGCTGGAGAGATGGCTCAGTGATTAGGAGCACTGGCTGCTCTTCCAGAAGTCCTGAGTTCAATTCCCAGCAACCACTTGGTGGCTCACAACAATCCTTAATGAGATATGGTGCCCTCTTCTGGCCTACAGGCATACATGCAGGCAGAACACTATACATAGTTGATAAATCTTTTTAAAAAGGGTTTAAAACTATAGAATTTCAAGAAGTATCGCTGTTCATCAAATCAATGATGGCTTCTTTATAAATCTTATTTTATTCTTTCTCTAATTCAAAGATAAATCATTTTAAAAAACAGCTGGGCTTAGAATTGCAAACCTGTAATCCTGGCACTTGAGAGACAGTGGCAGGCCAATATCTCTTGAATTTGAGGCCACCTTGGTCCACATAGTGAGTTCCAGGACAGCTGTAGCTATGTAGAGATAGCCTGTCTCAAAAAAAAAAAAAATCCAAAAAGAGCATATCTTGAATTATGGAACTTTTCCTAATATGATCTGTTGGGACTCTATCACTGGTTTCAACAAAACCTTTTGCTACCTTTGCTTACATTAAGAGTACTGTATTAATAATGAAACTAAGAAACAATGTGGAGAGTCCATTTGCAGAGGGATAGAAATCCATTGAATCCTTGACAATCATCAAACAAGGACTTTCATCTCCTTCAAGTGATGTGAAACAGAAAGGATAATTGGGCATCTTCATCTTCCTTATTATAATGATACATTTGGGAGCTAGAGAGTTTGCTCAGTAGTACTGCTCCTCTTAAGTACCCAAGTTTGGTTCTTAGTTCCCACATCAGATGGCTCAGAACTACTTGTATTTTTAGGTCCAGGATGTCAGATGGCTCTTCTGGTCTCCTAGGGCATCAGATACGCAAATGGTAAAAAGGCACATATATGTCATTCCAGATTGTTAAAAAAAATGTTTTTGCTGTGGATGATTGATTGATAAATAAAACACTGATTGGCTAGTAGCCAGGCAGGAAGTATAAGTGGGACTAGAGAGAGGAGAATTTTGGGAACAGGAAGGCTGGGGGAGAGAAGAGGCTGCCAGCTGCCGCCATGAGATGATGTTAAGATACTGGTAAGCCACGAGCCACGTGACAACTTATAGATTAATAAAAATGGATTAATTTAAGATATAAAAACAATTAACAAGAAGCCTGCCATGGCCATAAAGTTTGTAAACAATATAAGTCTCTGTGTGTTTACTTGGTTGGGTCTGAGCAGCCGTGGGACTGGTAGGTGAGAGAGATTTGTCCTGACTGTGGGCCAAGCAGGAAAACTCTAGCTACAAATGGCACCCAACGTGGGGCTCAAACCCACGACCCTGAGATTAAGTTTCATGCTCTACTGACTGAGCACCAGGCAGGAAAACTCTAGCTACATGTTTCTTCATGTATATGAATTAAAGTTAATTTAGGGGTATAAATAAGTATTGCTACTGTCTATAAAAATGTGTGTTAGGTACCAGTGGAGACCAGAAGATGGTGTCAGATCCTCCATGACGGAAGTTACAGAAAGTTATAAGCTGTATTTGGGTGATGGGAATCAGCCAGTCCCTGTGGATGAGCAGCCATTGTTCTTAGGTGCTAAGCCATTTATTCAGCCCTATGAACTTGTCCTTAATAGCAGAAAGGTGTGGAAGGCTGATTCTAAGTTCATCTTTACCTCAGCCCTGATGACCCAGAAGAAATGTAACATTGATATCACCAGAAATTAACTTAGAATCAGTGCTTAAAGAAGTTTCTGAGCTCAAATCTCCACAAAATGATGGGAGTCTAAAAAAATGTTCAGGAGAGAAACTGACAATACAAGTCTTAGATAGTGGCTGATTGCTTGACCAAAGATACAAGACTGAGTTTATCTCAAATGTGGTCAGTAGACAACAATGGCAGCCCACAAGGGCACAGGTCAGGTGTACTCCTGCTTGGGTTTATGCCTCTTGTAAGGAGAGAAAATGAACTTGCAGATGGAAGGAACTGGAAGATTAGAGTGCTGAGAGTATTTCAGATAGTAGAGGTCAAGGTTATAAGGATTGAGCAGGAAATAAACTTCATAGAAAACTAGGCTAGAGGTCATTGGGTGGTTTGAGTGAGAATGGCCTCCATATGGTTATGTATTTGAATGCTTGCTCCCCAATTAGTGGAATTGATTGAGAAGTAGGATATGGCATGGGTAGAGGAGGTGTGTCACTGGAAATTGGTTCTCTCTTTCTGCCTGCTGCCTGCAGATCAGTATGTAAACTCTAAGCTTCATGCTTGCCTACTGCCATCTTTCCTGACATGAAAATGGATTAATGCTCTGAAAGTGTAAGAAAGTCCCCAATTAAAAGCCTTCTATTATAAGAGTTGATTTGACAATTTCCCCTTCACAACACTAAAACAGTAACTTGGACAGTCATTTGTGTCATATTTTGGCAAAGAAATCTGTCTGTATTCTGCCCAAGTCCTGAAAGACTTAGGCAGAATTAAATGGTAATGACTTCTTTGACAAAATACTGAGTCAGTGATACAGTTAGTACTTATGATTCATGCAGGTCTATAGTGAAAAAGAGCAACAAATAGGCACAAAGAAATGAAATGTGCAGTTTGGAGGGGAAAACAAGTCATTTTAGGAGGAAATAGAAGAAGAGGATCACCCCTCTTGTTTCTGGGCCCATTGAATAGGATATGGCATTGCAAGAGAAATGTCTGCTAACAGTTATTTAGGGAGACACACAAACAGTTCAACAGTATTAAGTATACATCACAGAAATAGTATCAACAATTGCTAACTTCAAAAATGGATGGACAAGCTTGGTGTGGTGGCTCATGCTTTATGCCTTTAATCCAGAACTCAGGAAGCTTTAGTTTGCAGTCACATACTGAAACAGAAGCAGTAATTTCCAAGGAGGTTGGTGACATTAAAGAGAAGGTAGCTGCTCCTCATTGTAAGCATAGGAAAAGTGCCCTAAAGGTAAGACCTCACTCACTTAAACCTTCAATTTATGGAAGTAAAAGGCAAGCCAATTCCTAGCCACTAAAACCAATTTCATACAGAACATGTTGCTACTCTGTTCCAAGTTGGACAGAATCCATGAATAACCAGATCCCCATATGGTGGTATCACCTGAAATTTTTTTGGAAATAAAAAAGAGGCAAAATTTAGCCAGGTGGTGGTGGTGCATGCCTTTAATCCCAGCACTCAGGAGGCAGAGCCAGGCAGATCTCTGTGAGTTTGAAACCAGCCTGGTCTACAGAGTGAGATCCAGGACAGACACCAACTACACAAAGAAATGCTGTCTCAAAAAATAAATAAATAAATAATAGAAAGTAGATTCAATAATCTACCTCTTATCTATAATGTAGTGATATATTGTATATGCTAATAAACTTATCTGGGGATCAGAGGACAGAGCCAGCCACTAGATTAGACATAGAGGCCAGACAGTGGTGGCACACACCCTTAATCCTATCTCTTGGGAGGCAGAGATCCATCTGTATCTCTGTGAGTTCAAGGCCACACTGGAAACAGAGTCAGGCAGTGGTGGCATATGCCTTTAATCCCAGCACTTGAGATCTCATGCCTTTGCTTGGAAAGCAACATGCCTTTAATCCCAGGAAGTGACATGGCTAGGTGGAGAATGGTATATAAGGTGTGAGGAGACATGAATTAAGCAGCAGTTCAACTGAGACCCTGAGGAGTGAGAAACAGGGTCAGCTAAGGAGTTGATAAGATGAGGTTGGCTGTGGCTTGTTCTGCTTCTCAGATCTTTCAGCTTTTACCTCAACATCTGGCTCCAGGTTTTTTTTTAGTTAATAAGACCTATTAAGATTCACATTACAGGGTTAAGCCTTTTGAAAATGAAGCCCCAGGTGTCTAAAACAGAGCAGCAGGGTTTGGTGTTTGCCCTGCTGGGTTTCAGTTTTGCTCTGGTCCAATCTTTCTCACTGTGTTATGAAAGGGTATATATAGTCTGTGACATTGTATGTTGGAACAACATATTTAGTTTGTTCATTTTGTAAGACACCATAGTCAAGAGAGTACCATGATAACCAAACTAATGATAGTATTTATACTAACGTAAAATGTATTTTCAAAGTGTGTAACAGTTAACATTTAACCTCTGAAACTTCTGGGTCCCACAGGGCAGTGCCTGATGATGGATGGGCTCACCTGAGCAGGGAGTTGGGTTAACTTTGAGCAGAAGACTACCATGTGATTTGCTGCCACCTTGATTTGTGACCTCATCCTGAAGGAAGCAGTCATGTGACCTTTGGTAATAATTTCATAAAAGAGGTAAATTTAACGTGAATTTGTGGTTACTATAAGCACTTGACATATACCAAAATGATGATAGCCATAAACTTCCTGGTAACACCGAACCTTCAAAATATTACCCCATTTATATACTAAAGAGGTGA